GGACTTCTGCTTAAAAGGCATCCTCTATCACAACCAAAATCAGTCCAGTATACATTGCTTTTCTTGTCCTTTTCTCACTATGTGCTACTTTGGACAGAGCTTTTACAACCACGAAAAAGAAAGAATACTAGATGTCTGTAAAATTTACAGAGAATCTTGCTATACTTACTTAGATACGCCTTAGATAGGGCTGCTTTTGGCTGTGAAGGGCATCACAACAAACTCTAAGGAAATTTTTAACAGAATATTTATTACATAAAATGGTTGCACATATGCAAAAACTACTTCAAGTTCTAGTTCCTAATGGAATGTAAGTCATGATGAATGGGTGACTTGATCCCCCTCTGAATGTATTGAATACTATGCAAGGTTCAGAATTTGTTATAACTTCCTGTATTGATCTACATTTCAGAGTCCTTTGAAAGAAAAAAAAAAATGCAATGACAGAGCAACTTGGATAGATGTTCAGTGTATATGCTTCATAAAACATAGTAGTTTACAAAGAGTATTTTCCTGCAGAGAGGGTATTTCCCTCCTTCATAACACCCGAATCTTTCTCCTCTCTCTCTCTCTCTCTCTCTGAATTTAGGGACCGCCACGGCTGTCTTTCGACACGTGGAAAGGTTATAGTGGTCTGGCACAATATTCTCCTGGATTTTATTTGTTTGCTGCAGCTCACTGTATATGTGATTCCTTCTATGATCTTCATGCAGGGAATTTTACATAAATAGAAAGCATTGCTGTTTTGTCTATGAAAAACCTGTTCAGTGCAGTGGATCAAGCATGTGTTACTTGTTTCTGTTAAATCAGGCTGCCATTTTTCTCTAGTCTTTTTCAGTGATGCTAGAAACCCATCCCAAATGCAAGTGCTAGAATTGAGCAGAGCAGTGCTATGAAAAACACACTACTTTTTTGTCCACAGAGGTCCTGCAGCCCTTTCAGCTACCCTGTAGATAGATGTGTCAGAGGTAAACATGTAAAGTAGAGAGGAGAGGGAAGAAATGGCCTGAAATGGTTCCTCTTTTTGACACACGTCTGCTTGTACACGTCAACTGAGCACTGACTGGGTCGGTTTTGGTGATAATCTGAACCAAATTGTTTGTCTTGCAGTAGTACCTGGGCATGAGTCACAATTCTGCATCTTCAGGTATCATAGCAAAGTTAAAAGCTCCTAAAAAACAGCTAACCTAAGTGATGAGTATAGACTCACCAGGATTTCTGTATGCTGCTTATACGATTATTGCTTTTACTTATATGATTATTACTGGAACAGGCTGCCCAGAGAGGTTGTGGGGTCTCCTTCTCTTGAGATCTTCCAGACCTGCCTGGATGCCACCCTGTGCCACATGCTCTAGGTGTGCCCCCCTGTTGGAGCAGGGGGGTTGGACTAGATGATCTTTAGAGATCCCTTCTAACCTCAACCATTCTGTGATACTTACATCCAGTTATTTCTTTTCTAATATGCAATGTATTTTTGCTTTTTTAATTTTTTTTTCCGGATCCCTAGGATAATGAATTTCAACTTGTTGTACACTCATTAGTTAATGGTGCCCCATGTCATTAGCATGCTCAGGAAAAACTGTTCTTTGCATCTTTTTACCCAGGTTGAAAAAAAACTAATAGGGCATAATTTTCAATTGAGAAGTAATGCTGTTCATCAATATGTGGCATATTTCTGTCATAGCTGTGGAAAATAAGCACTGAAATAAAAACTGAGAATTCAATTCCAATAGCTTTTTTTGGCCTAAAAAAGCATAAATAACAAATAATTGGTGTTAAATCTAATTTCAGTGAATTATAGCACACAAAAAATGTGGCAACAGCACTGAAGTTCTTAGTGTTATATGTGTTAGTTATATCCATTTTTAAAATCTTAATCTGAGTAGGCAGTTGTGTAGCTATTCTGAAAATGTTCAGTGTTAAATGTTTGTATATTAAAGACAGTCTGTGCTAAAATGGATTTAATAGAATGGCCTTTGGTTTATATTCATGGTCTTCCTCTCAAGTTGGTTGATTATGCGGTCAAGGGAGTAAACAGTTAAAAACAGAAGTGAAACTTAGCCTTTGAGTATGGTGGGTTTTTTTAAGAAGTCTTTTCATTGGATGCAGAGGTGCTTGTGGGTAGGTAGAATGCCAAAAAAAAGACTGCTGCATCCGAACTGATGGCTTCTGATGCTGTAATAACACTAGTAATATTAATTTACATGGCTTTGCACTAGCTTATGTGCTGAAAATTAAAACAAAGGAAAACAGCTGCAGTGTACATTTCCCTGTATTTTACATAATGTGACATTCATCTTTTTCCCCATTGCTATAGAGGGAAAATCGAATTTTAGCCCTGGCACCAAAGGCATATTTCATTATGCAATCATTGTGATCCCCAAGGACGAGTTTATAGCAGGCTCAAGTACACAGGGAGACAAAGTGTAATGGACTAACATGAGAGAATAGTAGTGTGCAGAGACCCACGGGACTTGCAGGGAAAGGGGCTTGTTCACAGCTGCAACACGAAACATTCACTTGATCCATCTTGTGATACTGTTGATGCATTGTGAGCCAATCACAAAATTACTTGAGGTGACATTTCATAGCTATCATTTGTGGAGTGTTTTTTAAAAAAAGTAAGACACCTTGAATAAAGCTCATTATTTTTGTTATTTCCTTCCTTTCTTACAGGAGCTAATATCCATCTCTTACTGTTCACTGAGTTACAGACGAGTAGTGCTGAAGTAGCACAGTTGTACTCAGGATATTTGTTATTGTCACTGAGGAATTGGTGGAAAGCTATTAGCATTACTGGGTGAAGTTCCACCAAATCTAAGTAAAGATGAATAAAAGGCTATCCCTAAACTGTTAATTAAAGTGATTAGTTCTTTTTTTTTTTTTCTATTAGTTAGTTGATGAACATTTCTAAATGTTGCATGGGTTCATTTGTATGTACCATGAATATTGTATTGGAGTAGGGGACAGTGAGTATTGCAGTCAGGTATGAATCTTGTCCATCCCTGAGTCTTATGGTTTACAAGCAGCATTCAAATACACAAAAGCTTCTTTACAGCTTCTGTACACTAAATAAGGAAAATGTGTGTATATAGATGAGTATACTTATTTCAGTATTGAATTTAGGAAGGGGATTGTTCAGTCAGGCAACTTTTCTGAGAGGGAACGGGCTGAATGAAAGACCGTGTGACTAATGCCATGGTTTAAATGAATTTAATCTATCTCCAGACAATTCCAGAGCATGTTTGCACTTTGTCGCAGGTGACAGTCACTGCTCACTGACAGCCTGTGAAATGGGGCTGCCATGCTGATAAAGGCAACATGAGCAGAGGAAGAGTACATTGCCAGATGGGCAGGAGAAGGGACACTGGGGAGGATGGAATAAATCTCATAGAGCAGCTCACATAAGGATTTCATTAGGATTTCATAAACTTTCAGATTATGCACCTTCCTTTTTTCCAGCTCTCATCGTGTTAATTCCTCCTGTCATGCCCACACATGCTCGTGTTTACTATGTAAACCCCAAATACAAACCTCATTTGAAATGCTCTGCCTAGTTTACAGCCTTGAAACTCCATGTACATATGTCTGAGGTAGAACCATTATTGTTCTTAGGGATTATTACCCTTAGGGTATTGGGAACCATGGCAGATTTTAGGAAGCTCTCTCAGAAGGCCAAACCTCATTGCCTGTAAATAACTGATCCCAGGTCAGTTAGAACTGACCACAGGCTTGTCCAAATGATTTAGTGTGCTTTGCTAATGCACACTAACACACTTGCTAATAACTCCTATTTGAATTTTGCATAGTAAAACTAAAACCCAAGTGTGCTTTGGCTGCCAGCACTTGCCCAACTCTTAAGATAAATCTCTTCTCCACTTCCTCCTCCCACCTCTCTTGGGAGAATCCAGGGAAAGGAAAACTGAGCAGAAGCACGCAGTGCTCTCCGAGGCTCCGGAGTCAGATGCTGCAGTCCAGCATGAATGTGATGCTGCTGTGATTCATTTGCATTTACTCTCACAGAGGAAATGAACTTGAATTCCTCACTGCAATGTGAATATTCAGTTTGACTGTAGTGCTGCTTTGAAATGCTACTCCCTGCTGCAGGCAGCTGGTGCTGAATGAACAAAGATTTTGCCTCTGCATCGGTGTATGCCGGGAAGAGTATTTAATGCTATCTCATGTCCCTAGAGGAGTAAAACAGCTATGAATGATCTGCAAATTCCTTTGTAGTGAGGCTGTGTGCTGCACTTTTCTGGTTATTCTTCTGGAGATTGCTTTAACTATTTTTTTTTTTTTAAAGAAAAGCAAGCTCCTTGGGTTTGGTGGAGAGTCTTATTTATTTGTTTGTTTGTTTGCTTGCTTATGGTGAAAACAAAGGTCTGGTCAGTCCTATGTTCTATTAATGAATTCTAACTACCAGTTTGCGTATTAACTGGCAACAAGAACTTGTGATATGCCCGGCATCCAAAATGCTCATGAAGAGCCTTTGACGTCTCCTGGCGTATGTTTTTGTGCCACTCTGCTGGATTCCCCGTGGAAGCAAACTGGAAGGAGAGAGAGAGAGGCTATTTTTCCATCATGGGCTTCATGTTTTAGTGAGGAGATAGGGAAGAAGAGAAGGGAGCTGCAGGGAGAAGGGACTGAATGAAGGAATTAAGGAGTAGCAGTTGTTTCATGTGGGAAATAGGTAAATTGGCAAAGATTACCCCTATAATTTCTCCTTTGTCACTTCTTGCAGAAGAGATTTTTCCGATCTTTCACACTCTGCTTCTTCTTCCTCCCAAGCCTTGCTTTGTAATGACAGTATAGCAGTGAAACCAGGTCCCATCAAGGCCTGAAGGTTTCCAGCTTTAATCTGAAATGAAATGTGAAGAAATCTGGCAAGCTCTGAAATGTGTTCAGACCCTTGAAAGAGATTTTGGAATTCAGCTCAGGGAATTATGTGCTGTGCACAGTGAATTTTATTGGTTAATCTTTTCTTTCTAATTCTTCAACAGAAATTGGGAAGATCGATCAAGATATCTATAAATACAACACACCGGGGTTCACTGGCTGCCTCTCAAGAGTACAGTTCAACCAGATCGCTCCACTCAAAGCAGCTCTGAGACCTACCAACATCTCCTCTCACGTCCACATCCAAGGAGAACTAGTAGAGTCCAACTGCGGCGCATCTCCGTTGACAATCCCACCCATGTCGGCCGCTACAGACCCGTGGCATTTAGATTCGGGTGAGTCACTTGACCAGAATGCAGGGAAGGAATATATCCACCCTCCCCTCAAAGGAAAAATGATTTCATTGAAGCAGTTTATTGACTATTGTAGGGCAATTATTGCAGCATGAAATACAAAGCTGGAATACAGGAGAATTTCTGCTAGTTCTAAGTGCACTTTTTTAATCACAATTAAGTTTGTGGAGCAATGTTACCTTGTGGTAGCAAGAGGCAGCACTGACTTGTTTAGCTCTCCCCAGCACCTTCACATTAGAGTTTAGTTCATTTATGTCCCGCGTTCATGATGTATCTGCATTTTACACGTATTCTTTTCAAAAAAAAATGTGCAAGTTTGTTTGCTGCCTCCACATTATAGAATAGGACGGACAGCAAACTTTCAGGTTCATAGTGCCTTGTATCCTGCTTCTCTGGCACATTCTTACCTATCAGAACAAGCTTCCAGGCTTGAGGCATTAAGAAGGCGTTAAATCTTAGCAGAGTTTAATTCAGTATGAGGGAGTTTCAACATTCTCATTTGTTTATAATTTGTTTTAGCTTTGTGATAACTGAATCTTCATTTTGGACCTAGCTATTGTGATAGCTAGCTAGCTACTGTAGCAGTGCAAGTGAGGGGCTACTGGTATGGATGAAAATGTTGCTTATGGTAGCATTGCTTATTTTGGATTGCTAATAAGTGAAAATATTCTAGTCAGCCTCATCCAAAAATATATATGCATTCTAATTTTAGGCGTATTTATAGTAGTATTTATACGTATATTATAATATGTAGTATTTATAAACTGCTGATTTGTTTTTCCATGCTTGAAATGCCTGCTTTCCTTAGGCCATGTTTAATGAGAAATGCCATTAAGAACAAGCACATTCAACTCATTCTGAAAATGAAAAGCAAAAATGATGTGCTGATCCTAGCAATCTGATCCGACTTTGTGGCTGACAGTCTTTGATAGTATACATTACTCCTTACTTTAGAATGTGGTTTTTTTTTTCTTTTTTAATCTTGCTGCTTCCGATAGATCAAAAAAAAAAATCTCTCTTCCCTTCAGGCTTATATAGTGAAGTGTATCATGTTGTGGCCAGATTCTGATTTCATTTTTGCTGGTGTAAATTAAAAGGAAAACTGGGTCTGTGATGGCTTGCTTCCAATTATTTTTTGCTCAGGGTATTTGGGGATGTATCTATCCATCAATCTTGGTAAGACAGCAGGACACAGATCTATGTGTGTCTTTAAAACATGTGCTGAAGTCATACATTTTTTTCTTCCCAAAGTCAAGCAATACCAAGCAATTCCTTATAGAGTTTCCTTCCAGCTCTTTAATTGGGTCAGAGTTTTATAATGAGAGGGGAGATGTTGGAGGGCTGAGAGTCCCAAACTCTGTACTGATGATGTACAAGCAATACCATGTTGTAAAAGCTTCCATTACCTCCTTGCAGCTATCTCTTTGTAAGATTTCAGTGCATCTCCTCCTCGTTTGTAACATGCAATCTCCCACTTGAATTTTTCCTCACAAATCTTTCTATCCTTTTGTTTTTTTCCTATCTGGAATTTTCAAATCAGTTTGTACCTGGAGGTTATATCTCATGCTTCTGACTACAGACTGCAGCTGGATTTACATGAGACAGTCAAGCTGTTCCTGATAGCTCCAGGTGTTGAGAAGGGAGCTCCTGTTTGCCCCAGCCTCGTGGTGCTACTCTTGTCCTTAGGTTGCTCAGTCTCCTTCTGGAAGCTGTGCTGAGTCAAGTAGCTCATACTGCTTCATGATTTTCTACTAAGGGACTTCAAGACTTTCAGGCCAGGTCAAAACTTTAATTCACAAGTCTGCAGTTATATTTCCACAATATAAAGAACAAGGTGGTCACAGCAACTCCTTCCATCTACCAACTAAGAACAACTCAGTCTTCGTACAAGTATATCTGGCGATCAGACACAGCTGGCTCTGTTTCAGTCTCAGAAAAAGTATATACCGTAGATGGCATAACCTTGGACTCGCACACAGACGATCTTGATGACTGGTGAATGACAGTGTTTATTTTAGTGTCATTTCACACCAGCAAGTTGGTATTTTGCACTCAACGTTCTTTTTATATGTTTCCCAAACCTTATTAAGAGGCTTTCTAACATAAAGTGTGTGAAAAGAGAAAACGAAAAACTGGACTAATAAATAGAAGTCCCAGTGGCTCTAGAACTGGCGTATTCACAGTGCTCTTACTGTGATTTTCCTCCTCTACTGAGCTGGCCAGAGGAGCAAAGACAGTGAGCTCTGTTGTAACTCGCAGAAATGCTTGTGGTTCTGCTAAAGCAAAACCCACAAAACATTCACACTCATTCTTTCACAAAGAAATGTTTACAAAGAACATGGCTATGAAAATAGCAGTTACTAAGTGTTCGTCACTTCATATATGCACTTTTCTGTAATTTTTATTAGCATATTTATTAGCATAACACTGGTTTAATTTTAAATAGGTTTTAACAAAACATAAGAATTGAGGGGGAAAATGAAGAGAAAAAATATCCTCTATGAATCCTCTGTGAACTTTGTCTGGCAAGTATCATATGGTTTAAGTTTCATTCTGTCACATACTCTGACCTTCTCCTGATTCATGTTTGGGTTTAAGTGTAGATTTATAGCTTTGTTTCTCAAATCCTGTCACACTGAACTTTGAGGATTGAAAAATGTTGTAGGAGAGGATCAAAGATCAGTGGCTAACTAGGACAATTACACTAGAAGACAAATATAATAACCCTTTCACCTCTAAACTGCAACACTGGATCAGATCTTATGAGTAATTACCAGGAGATGCTAAGCAGGTTCTGCCTGACAGGTAACCTACATGAAATATTTGCCTTAAATGCTCTTCTGTGGTTACCATACGGACACTTCTTGGTAGCTGCAAAAAATTTTGGATGCCTATAGAGAGACTAAGAGATAAACCATAAAGATATACATCAGTCAGTCATTTGCCAGTGACCCTTACACACAAGCTCAGAATTTCAGTGAGGAGAAGCTTGCTGATGAATTCCCAGCATGAATGAACTCTCAGTTCATTGTTCCGCTCCTTCTACTTTTTCGCTTGGAAATAGCATATATTTCAAATTTACAGTATTGGGATTTCTCAGTTCTCTAAATTGTTTCTCTCATTGTTAGAAAGCTGCCTGCTTTCCTCCTCCACGGCTGGCATTCTGCTGTGTTGCTGCACTTTACCTTAAACCAGTCCCTTGTTCTGCTTGAAAGTATTTTGATAATGTGTAGTCTTTTCCTGTTGCCATGGTTATGCTTTCTTGGTAGTGGTGAAGCACGAGAATTCAACAAGTCATTCTTTTCCAGAATGTGACTTTTTGATGGTTTGGGGGAGGAAAAAAAAAAAACAATACCTGAAAACAAGCAGATCAACAACATAGTTCCCAGCCCTTCCTGTGTTTTTCTCCCAAATCCATTATCTCAGCTCACGTGAAACCATCCAATTTGCCTTGGTTATATCAAAAGAAATGCAGCAACCAGGCAAAAAAGAGTATGTTCGGTGACATTGTTACATAAAAATGACTTGTCCTGCCTTTACATGTTGCTTAAACGCAGTGGATTACCTGTCTGGCATATACTTCAAAATAAATTACAATTACATGTCTTAACCATTAAAGGTTTTTTAATATATCTCTAAATTTAGATTAGCGGGGATGTATGTCATGGATAACTGACATTGTGCTTGATTTAGGGAAGGAAACAAAAGATAAAGTAATAAAAAAGATAAATAGTTTTTGTAGTAGTTAAACCTTCAAACCTAAAAAACCTTGTACTCAAAATAGGCCATACTAATTACTGAAGAGAGTGTTCAGTCTTTATGTGTTTTTTTTTCCTCCAAGGTAAAGGTTCTTCAGCTTATTGCAGTTTCACTTCCAAAAGTTTCTCAATTAAATAAAGAAATAAAAGAAACCTTCTACATGTGTGTATCTCTCCATTTCAGGTAAAATATCTTCCAACTTTCAAAACTACCAGATCCTGAATTTGATAAAATCACAAGAGATGCCACTAAAAGCAAGGTACATACAAAACTGCAAACGCTGCTTTAGCAAATCCTTCTAACCTGCCATGTCACTATGTAGATGTAAAACACATTTATTCTAAGTTTAAACAGAATCTAGTGTTTAACACAGGATTTAATTAAGGCACTAGTATCTCCAATGTTGTGTTAAGAATTAAATAGAGCAGGATTAAATGCTATAGTTCTGCAGTGCTTTTTCCGGTCATGCGAGTTTTGTCTGGCTTAACAAATATAAGCCCTAAAAGCTCTTCTCTATTTTTGTAGGTCTTGCTTTTTAAGAATCAGTAGCTTACTGTGAATAATACATTGAACATGTCTGGCAAAAAACACTGTATAAAGGCATGCAATGTTGTCTTCAAGATCAAGACAGCTGCCTAAAGGATTTTTTTTCTTACAAATTCATCATTCTTCCTTTAACAAGTGTTGACAGGAGAAGAGCATGGGAGGGCTGAATATGGGCCACAAGGTTCATGCTCCCCTAATTGCTCAACCGTTATCTTTGGAAACCAAAAGAGAAGTCAATATCTCAGCTAGGAGATGGTATCACTAGTGTATACGCAATAACACTGTTGGAGATCATGCTGCTTTTTAGACACTAAAAGTTAGGTGCACATGCTTCGGTCTAACCCTTGGGTACCTGTGCATTAGAAGGCAGAGTGATGATATTTGAGATAAGCTGTTTTGGGGGTTCACTTCTATAGATATGTCCATTTGGGCACAAAAATAAACATTCTCCATGCCATGGAGTTTAAGAAAGGAGCAGTGGCCAGGAAGGATCCAAGGCATTACTGGCTATGCCAGGGAGATTTAGACCTCAAAACCATCTCAGGTTACACATGCAAGAACAAAAGGCCTTCCTTAAGTACCAGACACTTGGACCACAGACACTTGGAGTAGTGTGTATTAGCATGCATTGAGCTTAATATCCTGTTTGCATTGGTGAATCTGACAAAAGAAGGATT